CATCCTGCCTTTCACTCCTCCCATCGTCAAGCGGCTCCTGGGCTGGAAGAAAGGGGAGCAGAACGGGCAGGAGGAGAAATGGTGCGAGAAGGCGGTGAAGAGCCTGGTGAAGAAACTGAAGAAGACGGGGCAGCTGGACGAGCTGGAGAAGGCGATCACCACGCAGAACATCAACACCAAGTGCATCACTATCCCCAGGTAAGAGGAGGAGGAGGGGGGGAGCACACAAACCGAGGGGTATCCCCGGCCGTCCCGGGTCCCCCCCGGGGGGGACGCGGGGGCTCGGAGGCCCTTGGGCAGCCGCTTTCTCCCGAGGGACTCCCCGTGCTCCGGGAAAGGGCTTCTTTGGCTTTCTAGCCCTTCGGTGCGGAGTTAGTCCTCTCCTGCATGCCCCATCCTGGCTCTATAGATAGTTTAAATTAAAAAAAAAAACATTTATAAGTAAGAACTAACTGCCTACAGAAGTGGATTACTGTCTAGTAACAAGAGAGGGGAAAAAAGTAAGAGGGGAATGTAAGGGAGAAAATATGTCTCCAGCCGAGATTACAAAAAAAAAAAAGAAAAAGTTGGAAGCACTCTGGATTATAGTTATTGTGGATACTCTCATTGTCAAAAGTTTCAGCGTGTTCCTCGGTGCCGTTACGCTAAGATTTTCTTTCGGTTAATGTATCAGGAAAATGGTTTTGTTTGGGTTGCTTGGGTTCTTCCATCTTAGCTGGACAGATACTGCTCCGAAGAGGGGGTTTAGAGCCCTGCTGTGCATATGTGTTCAAATCACTTTTTAAATCGGGAATGCAAATGGAATAGCTGAAGGAGGATTGTTTGGGGTGCAAAAAAAAACCCCAAACATGTGAGGGTGAATATAACTGTTTTTTTTTTTTATTTTTTTGAATTAATGAAAGTTTTATTTTTAGCCTCGATTCCAAGATCGATCCGTAAGACCATTATAAATCATAAAGGACGTGTATAAAAGTATTCCATCTAAGAAAAATTTTCCAAGTAACTTTCAAATAGCTGGCCACAAGTGGTGTTTTACTGCTGAAGATTTGTTGATTTCTGTGAGCGCAGCCAGATGACTGCTGATTCTGTTACTGATTGTTGTTCAAGGGTACTTTTTTTTTTTTTAAACAAAGGCCAAAGTTCATCCCAAATATTTGAATGCTGCATAATTGTATGCTTCTGTGTGAGAAGATATCTGTGTGTGTGTGTATTCATGCTTCTCTCGCGCGCAAACAAATGTATGCTTTCTTGGTTGTCAGAATGATTTAATATGCAGTAGCTAATACAAAGCAGCATCTGTTGCATGAAGAAGTGAAGCAAGTAGCTTAGAAATGTGGATATTTGGAACTCCTAAAATTTTCTTCCAACAACTGTAGTGGGTTTTTTTTAAAGGAAAAATAAAGTCTCCTTATCTTTTTGGTGCTGAATGACTGTGGCTAAGATTTGGCCAGGAATGCAAATAGGTCTTTCAGCCTTTGTTAGAGTTACTCTGGCTTCCCCTACTTGGACCAGAGATCAAAACAAGTAGAGCTACCACCTGGTACAAATGCCTTAAAAACCTATATTTTAAAATTCTTGGTGAGCAGTGTGCTTTCCACATAGATGATAGGCTATATAAACCACTTCCCTGATACACTTACCATTTCAAAAGAAGATGACTTGAGCAGCTCTGGTGATGAGACCTGGGTGTTGTGTCCAACTGATGCTGACTGGTTAGGGAGCACAGCGTGAAGCCTCTTGGTGGTACTTTTACTATTAACAAGGTGGTTTAGATAGGGGAGGAAGGTTTTGATACTGAGTTGATAAAGAAGAGATGGGTGGAGTAGGATGCTTTAATTTAGAAAAATAATTGTAAAGCTTGAAAACAGGTCATAAATATTATAATGTCCAGAGATTCTCCTGGCTGTTCCTACTGTGCAGAAGTGAATGTCTATTTTTCCTGGACCTTGCTCTGATAAAGGAAATCCTTAAACAAAATGTAAAGATCTAACAAAATTTAAACATTTCATGTTCACTTATGACACAGAGCCTGGATCCTGCAGATCTTAAACCTTGGTATGGGTGAAGTGTGTCCTCAAACGAGGACAGAAGTCTCAGCATATTTGGATGGTAGCTCCTTATGCCTTGGCACTTCATATGTACTTTTATTATTGTTTAGTACGTGTATTACAGAGACCCAGATAAGTGTGATTAGGTGAGTCTGTGTTGGACCCCCTGCAGCAGCGTACCGAGAGGTCAGTATGTACATGTCAGAGGTGGGGGAATGGTGTGGAAATGTGAAACAGCTCGTCCAGAAGTCAGTGGCAGAGCTGGAACTATAACCAGGCCTTCTGACTTTTAAGAGCTGTGTTTTATCTTCTGGACTGTGCTGTTTGTCCTAGTGTATCTGTGAATCTGATTATCATGGCATTTGAAATGCGTGTTTGCAAGGCAATTTTAGTATGGTTTTAGTTTGTTGGGTTTGGGGTTTTTTGTTGTTGTTTTGTTTTGGTTTTTTTTTAATAATCCTACATCAGTTCTTTTACTACTTAGTCAGATAAGTATGTTGGGGGGAAAAAGGGGGAAAAACCATCATTAGGGATTAGATCATGTTGTGCATCGTCTGTAATGCATCAGTAGACTGAGTTACAGTGGAGCTATGCCAGTGATGACTCTGGCCCAGCAGGAGTAGGGTAAGTCCAAAATTAGCTATTGTATCCATGAGACGAAGCAAGTTTCAGATGTAAAAGTGCTTGAGCTTTGCAGAAACGTTGCTCATGGGAATAAGGGCTACACAGCAAATTCCTGTAGTGATCAGGTGGGGTTGTTTTAAGAAAAAGAACAAGAAAAAAAAATATTTTTGTTGTAGGGCTAAGGAATTAGAGTACGAAATTTATTCCTGCTGTCATTTTCATCTGCTTGGGGCTGGAAATATACATACTACTTTCTATCTCCTGACAGATTATTAAACAATGAATAGTTTATTTGCTTGTGTATTGGTTCAGCATGTGTTACTTTTCCCAGTGCTCCATTTGTAAGATGATGTGGCAGACACTTCAGGCCCCGGGTTTTCTGTTGGAAAGACCTGTGGCAGACAGCAAAAGGCTTGGAGAGACCATCAAGGATTTCAGCGTAATGCTCTGCTGGCAGGATTTTTCCTTCTTGTTTTTTTTTTTTTCTCCTGGAAGTAATTTCCACCTGAAAAACCTACTAGTCTCAGACCATCCAATTGTTTCTTGTGCCACTGTTACTAGTGTGGCTGGTTTAGAGGACCTTCCTCCCTCCATCGTTTGGTCACTGCTGCCAAAGCCCGTCCTTCTCCAGAAGGAGCTGCCCCTAAACCTCTCTGCACTGAGATGCTGAGCTTTGGTGTCAGGAGCTGCCCTGGTGAGTTGTAGCCAGCTGGGTTTGCATGGCAGTAAGGCATTTTTTCATACTGTATTGGGTGATAAAGTTGAAAACCCACTTTCTTTTGCCTGTTAAAATACATCCTTTGTAGCAGTTGCGTTGATATTGAAAGCCCAGCCTTCAGGATGGGCATTTTTATCACTTTTCAGACAAGCTTGAGGATGGTGTGCCGTTAGCACGTACCCCAGCACAGCCAGGTGTTTGAGTTTGAAGCCTCTCTAATTTCAAGTTTGAGGATGGTGTGCCGTTAGCACGTACCAGGTGTTTGAGTTTGAAGCCTCTCTAATTTGCTCTGTGAACAAGTTTAGCTCAACTCCAGTTAAGTATCAGATTTTTTTGAATTCTTGATGGAATCTGGTGGCAGCCAAGTCTACAGCTGACAGGACTGCGTACCCACAGAGCCCAGTGGGCTTCATTGCTCTTCTCCCAGGGATGAGTTTCTGATGCTTGTGAACAAGCTTAGGTCTACTCCAGTTAAGTATCAGATTTTTTGAATTTTTGATGGAATCTGGTGGCAGCAAAGTCTACAGCTGACATGACTGCATACCTGCAGAACCCAGTGGGCTTCACTGCTCTTCTCCCAGGGATGAGTTTCTGATGCTATTCCTGATCTGAAGAGAGGGCTGTACTGTGCACCTGACAAACTGCCAGCATTTTTCCCTAGAAATAAAGTGCATTAGGCTGAACTGTGATGAGTTTTTAACTCATAACCTGTACAGGGGTCTGATCTGCAGAAGCCGGGAACGTGTAATGAATGCTTAGTAATTTCTAAACAGTTTGCAGTATATATAGTCTTGCTGATATGGGGTGAGATCGTAAATGCTTTGTTTCAAGAGCTTTAGTGGTGATACACCTATTAAGACATAAATCTCATGACATTTTGTAATATATTTTCATATGCATATTTTTCTTCTGAACCTATTACTGTATTTATTTTTTTTTTAATCAACAATAGTTTTAGAGGAGCCAGGATTCTTGTATGTGACGAACACCTTCTTTTAATTGGTGGGTTTTTTTAATTTAGAAAGTAGTTTTGAAGAGAGGTGGGTGTTATTTCTTGTGGAACTCATCTGATAAGGATAGAATGTACCAACTGAGATGGAAACCGGGCACATTTGCTTTTTACAAGCAGCTGAACAAGGTGTTCCTTAAATGATTTGCATTTTGGTGGGGGAAACCAGGGATAATATCTAAGGGGTTTCGGGAACATCTTGGGTGTGAGCACACCTTCTGTTGTGTTGGTAGTTGACCACGCAATATTTACAAGAATTGACCATGTTCTTAGGATTGCCTTGATACCAGGAAAACATGAAAACTATAAATATAGTAAGTGGCAGAGGCTCTCTGCAAGACCGTGAAGTATGTTCTTCCTTTGAAACTGGTGCCCATCTGGTTTCAGTAATAAGAAAAATGGCCAGTAACAGCTTTGTGTGTCCACATGCAAATTTGTATATATATATATATTTTCTTTTTAATACCAGTTTTGGAGGTGATTACAGTGCAGTCCCTGGGTGGAAACACAGTCTCGCTGTCATTAGGATTGTTAGCTCCCTGTTGCCAGTAATTGTACTGCTGCGGAGCTGTGTGCACTAACCTATGTACTGACCTGGCTTTATGGGCAGGTTTTTACAGCCCTGTCCTAACCTTTGTGCTGCCACAACGGTGGCAGTACCTGCCTGAGCAAGTATAGCTGCAGAGTTAAAAATCTGTTTTTTAAAAAAATCCCTTTAAAAAATCTGTTCATAACTAGCTTTTGTGGAATTAATGTGACTTTGCAGATTAGATCTCAAGGTGAAAATGGGGTGAGTGTA